ATTGGAGAAGATATTTGCAAAAGATATATCAGATAAAGTATCTAAGATTTATAAAGAACTTATTAAACTCAACAGCAAAGAAACAAACAATCCAACCATGAAATGGGCAAAAGACATGAACAGAAATTTCACCAAAGAAGACATAGACATGGCCAACAAGCACATGAGAAAATGCTCCGCATCACTGGCCATCAGGGAAATACAAATCAAAACCACAATGAGATGCCACCTCACACCAGTGAGAATGGGGAAAATTAACAAGACAGGAAACAACAAATGTTGGAGAGGATGTGGAGAAAAGGGAACCCTCTTACACTGTTGGTGGGAATGTGAACTGGTGCAGCCACTCTGGAAAACTGTGTGGAGGTTCCTCAAAGAGTTAAAAATAGACCTGCCCTATGACCCAGCAATTGCACTGCTGGGGATTTACCCCAAAGATACAGATGCAGTGAAAAGCCGAGACACCTGCTCCCCCAATGTTTCTAGCAGCAATGCCACAATAGACAAACTGTGGAAGGAGCCTTGGTGTCCATCGAAGGATGAATGGATAAAGAAGATGTGATTTATGTATACAATGGAATATTACTCAGCCATTAGAAATGACAAATACCCACCATTTGCTTCGACGTGGATGGAACTGGAGGGTATTATGCTGAGTGAAGTAAGTCAATCGGAGAAGGACAAACATTATATGGTCTCATTCATTTGGGGAATATAAAAAATAGTGAAAGGTCATAAAAGGGATAGGAGAGAAAATGAGTGGGAAATATCAGTGAGAGTGACAGAACATAGGAGACTCCTAACTAAAAAAAAATAAAAATAAAAAATAAAAAATAATAATAAAAAAGAGACTCCTAACTCTGGGAAACGAACAAGGGGTAGTGGAAGGGGAGGTGGGCGGGGGAATGGGGTGACTGGGTGACATGCACTGATGGGGGCACTTGCCGGGATGAGCACTGGGTGTTATGCTATATGTTGGCAAATCGAACTCCAATTAAAAAATATACAAAAAAAAAAAAAAAGAATTCTCTACCTGATAAAGTTGTCCTTCAGAATTGAAGGAGAGACAAAGAATTCTCTAAACAAAAGCGGAAAGTGTTCATCACCACTACAGCAGCTAGAAATGTTAAAGGATTTTCTTTAAGTTGAAACAGAAGGACATTATTTTGTAAGAAGATAACAAACACTACGTTTAATTGGGGTTCCCGAGGGCGCCGAAAGGGCCAGAGGACCAGAATATATATTTGAACAAATCCTAGCTGAAAACTTTCCCAATCTGGGAAGGGAAACAGGCATTCAGATCCAGGAAATAGAGAGATCCCCCCCTAAAATCAATAAAAACCGTTCAACACCTCGACATTTAATAGTGAAGCTTGCAAATTCCAAAGATAAAGAGAAGATCCTTAAAGCAGCAAGAGACAAGAAGTCCCTGACTTTCATGGGGAGGAATATTAGGGTAACAGCAGACCTCTCCACAGAGACCTGGCAGGCCAGAAAGGGCTGGCAGGATATATTCAGGGTCCTAAATGAGAAGAACATGCAACCAAGAATACTTTATCCAGCAAGGCTCTCATTCAAAATGGAAGGAGAGATAAAGAGCTTCCAAGACAGGCAGGAACTGAAAGAATATGTGACCTCCAAACCAGCTCTGCAAGAAATTTTAAGGGGGACTCTTAAAACTCCCCTTTAAGAAGAAGTTCAGTGGAACAATCCACAAAAACAAGGACTAAATAGATATCATGATGACACTAAACTCATTATCTGTCAATAGTAACTCTGAACGTGAATGGGCTTAATGACCCCATCAAAAGGCGCAGGGTTTCAGACTGGATAAAAAAGCAGGACCCATCTATTTGCTGTCTACAAGAGACTCATTTTAGACAGAAGGACACCTACAACCTGAAAATAAAAGGTTGGAGAACCATTTACCATTCAAATGGTTCTCAAAATATACCCTAAAAACTATAGAACACTTCTGAAAGAAATTGAGGAAGACACAAAGAGATGGAAAAATATTCCATGCTCATGGATTGGCAGAATTAATATTGTGAAAATGTCAATGTTACCCAGGGCAATTTACACGTATAATGCAATCCCTATCAAAATACCATGGACTTTCTTCAGAGACTTAGAACAAATTATTTTAAGATTTGTGTGGAATCAGAAAAGACCCCAAACAGCCAGGGGAATTTTAAAAAAGAAAACCATATCTGGGGGCATCACAATGCCAGATTTCAGGTTGTACTACAAAGCTGTGTTCATCAAGACAGTGTGGTACTGGCACAAAAACAGACACATAGATCAATGGAACAGAACAGAGAACCCAGAAGTGGACCCTGAACTTTATGGTCAACTAATATACGATAAAGGAGGAAAGACGATCCACTGGAAGAAAGACAGTCTCTTCAATAAATGGTGCTGGGAAAATTGGACATCCACATGCAGAAGAATGAAACTGGACCACTCTCTTGCACCATACACAAAGATAAACTCAAAATAGATGAAAGCTCTAAATGTGAGACAAGATTCCATCAAAATCCCAGAGGAGAACTCAGGCAACACCCTTTTTGAACTTGGCCACAGTAACCGGAGAAGGACAAACAGTGTATGTTCTCATTCATTTGGGGAATATGAATAATAGTGAAAGGGAATATAAGGGAAGGGAGAAGAAATGTGTGAGAAATATCAGAAAGGGAGACAGAACATAAAGACTTCTAACTCTGGGAAATGAACTAGGGGTGGTGGAGGGGGAGGAGGGCGGGGGGTGGGGGTGAATGGGTGACGGGCACTGAGGGGTACACTTGACGGGATGAGCACTGGGTGTTATTCTGTATGTTGGTAAATTGAACACCAATAAAAATTAATTTATAAAATTAAAAAAAAAGAAGATAACAAACAGAAGTATAAAACTCACCAGTAAAAGCAAATATAATTAAATTCAAAATACACAGTGGGTGTATAATGAAATGATGGTGGGTAAATTACATAAGTCTAGTATAAAAACTAAAAGACAAGTAGCAAAAATAACTATAATATACAATAGGAAAGGCTAGTCTCTTCAATAAACTGTGTTGAGAAAACTGAATTTCCACATGCAAAAGAATGAAGCCACACCCTATTTTATACTATTCACAAAAATTAATTCTAAAGGGATTAAAGACTTGAAATGTAAGACCTGAAACCATACAATTCCTGGAAGAAAACAGAGGGTAAGCTCCTTGACACTGGCTTCAGCAATGATTTTTCTGGATTTGACACCAAAATCAAAGACAACAAAACCAAAATAAACACATGAGTCTCTATCAAACCAAAAAGCTTCTGCTCAGCAAAGGAAACCATAATCAAAATGGAAAGACAATCTATGGAGGAAATATTTGCAAGCCACATGTCTGACAGGTGCTTAATACCCAAAATATACAAAGAACTTACACAGTTCTATAGCAATAACAATAATCCAGTTAATAAATATAAGCAAAGACCTGAATAGTTATTTTTATCCAAAGAAGACATCCAAAACCACTGATTTTTATTCACAAATCATCCAAAATCAGTGATTTTGATTAACTTCACCTCTCTTAGGATGGCTATTGTCAAAAGAACAAGAGATGATAAATGCTGGCAAAAATGTGGAAAAAAGGGAATTCTGTTGGTAGGAATGTAAACTTGTAAAAGCCACAATGGAAAACAGTTTGGAGGTTCCTCAAAAAATTAAAAATAGAACAACCGGATGATCCAGCAATCTCACTGCTGGGTATATATAAAAAAGAAAAAGAAAAGAAAGAAAAGAAAAGAAATCCAAATTCCAAAGAGATATCTGCACTCCCATGTTCACTGCAGCATCATTCACAATAGCCAAGATACAGAAACAACCTAAGTGCCCATCAATAGATGAATGGATAAAGAAAATGTGGTATATATGTGCAATGGGACATTATTCACTCTTAAAAAAGAAATAAATTCTATTACATCCAACAACACAGATGAACCTGAAGGGCAGTAGGCTCGGTAAAATAAAGCAGAGAAAGACAAATGTTATATGGTACCACTTATACGTGGAATCTAAAAGACTGGAAAAAAAGTTTTCAGCTCATAGAAACAGTAGAAAGGTGGTTGCCAGGGCTGGGGGGTTGGTAGGGTACAAAAGTTCATTTATGAGATAAGGTCTGAGGACCTAAAGCGTGACATGGTGACTATAGTTAATAACACTGTACTGTATAATTGAAATTTGCTAAGAGATTAGACCTTAAATGCTCTCACTAAAAAACAGAGGGGGTGGTAACTATGGAGGTCATGGATGTGTTAATAAACTCGATGCAGATAAACCTTTCACAACACATACGTGTTATTGAATCATGATGCTGTGCACTTTATATGTCTTACAATTTTATTTGTCAATTACAGTTCAGTAAAAGGTGAAAAAAAGTTTGTAATTTATATGACTTTATGGCAAAGATTAAGAAGTATACCTTTAGAACTAAGATTCAATTTGCTTTTCTAAAACAGTGTATTAATTATATTATTAGGAAGTGGTGTGGATAGTATCTTGGCTTATGGCTTTTCATTGCTCATTGAATTCTCAGTACATTAAACATAATACCTATAAAGGAGAGAGAAAAAGGAAGGCAAGACTTCCCACGTTCACATTTCGAGTTTTATGCAAATTATCTTCAACTTTTCAAACAAGCTGACAGTCTCACCTCTGGAGAAAGATGACAAAGCTGAAGAATCTACCATCCTCATTTTACTTCCTACCTTTAATACCTTTTGAAAAATCCCTACACAGTACAAAGTCATTAACCCCAACAAGGTAGGAAATTGGCAACAGGTGCAATTGCAGTGAGAGATGGAGACTTCTAGATTCCTAATTTTCTATCATTATTGTATGGACTAGTTAAGATAACTGACTTTTATCCCTTCTTATGACCCCCCAACATCCTCAGTGAACTCTGGGACCAAAATTCTTTGATCAAGTAAATAATTTTAGAGGACAGTGGGTTTACCTCCGTACACGTTCCACCCTATCATCTGTCCGAAGATACTTTTTGGCATTTTCTCCTTTGCCAAAGCTGGCACAGTCTTCTGGGTTGGCAAAAACCTATTCCAAACACCAAGAAAAAAAAGTTATTTCAAATACCAAATAACATGGGAGTATTCTATCTGATAAATTATTTGCATTTTAACAGGAGAAATACAGGTATTCAGGTTGGCCCTTATGAAAAGAAAATTTGGAGCTCAAACACCAGGAGGGGTCTATACTTTAAACCTGAGTTTTTAACAGTGCAAAAAAAACTTTTTTAAAGAAAAGCATAAATAAGAACATAAATAAAAACTAATGCATAAAAATAGTGAAAAAAAAGGAAAAGTGGAAAAGAGAGCTGAATTCCAATCCATCATCGACTGTTATTAAGGTGAACTGGAATCTTTTCCTAGTGATATCGATACAACTTCCCTTAAGAGTATTAATATTTCCACCTGATTGGTTTATATGAAGGTCCTTAATTTACTAACCACATATGTTAGGGAACAGACAAGAAGCATAAGAGCGAGGGGCAGGAAATGTATTTTGTACTTTGTTAGGATACGTGTATCTCTTTTCTTTTATTGAATTAATGAACACTTTGGGTTGAATAATATAGTGAAATATAAGAAGTAGAATTGCATTCCTAAAAATACCAAGTCCATGTTCTAGGGCATATGTTCATTTATTCCTTCCTGCAAATTATTATGCTGTTTGATATGATTTCCTCATCCCTTGAAACTTGAAAAATGCATTTAAAAATATTTAAGTGTGTTCCACTGTTTAATAATTTATAATAAAGAAAAACATGAACTACAAAATTAGCCTAATTTAAGCTTAGAAATTCATAAATATTATACTATTCTTCTTAATATGACATAAGCATTTATTTCATATAAAGATGTTAAGGAGAACTGATGGGAAGGGACTTAATAGAGTATCAGTTCTTGAAGCCAGCTTTGTCTGTCTTTATTCTAAATAAGTGTCTGGCATTTATGTTCAATAAATAGGTTTCAAATAAGTAAATAAATGTATTAAAGTGGAAAGTGCATGCGATTCAGGTTTAAAGCAATCTGAATTAGAATCTTAGCTTCATGCTTTATGGGTGTGTAACCTTGGGTAAGCTACCTGACCTCTCTGACTTCCAAGTTCTCATCTGTAAAATGGGGGGACCAATGCTCATTTCACATGATAATACTAAAAACTATGTAAAATGAGTCCATGATTTCACACATACAAAGAGCACCACGCAGCTCCTGGCACATACCACTGGCACTCCACAAATCTGAATTCCTTTCTCCCTTTCTTGTAAGATGGGGTACATTTCTGCTATGCTTAGTACTACTATGTTTCTGGAGGACATTGTAAACCTGGTGGTAAGCAGTCACTTCACAGCCTGCTGCTCTGACTCCTGGACCCATTAGAGACTCAGAAAGAGAGAGAAAGAGAGAGAGAGAAATAGGTGGTTTCCAGGAAGAAGTTGCTGACTAGGGATAGGGACCACACCAATGAAAATAGTTTAGCTTTGTCAAGGTAGTTTTGCTCTATCCTCCCTTACGGGTTACAAACCCTGTTTGAGTATATGTCATGCTTTCGAAATCTTTCTATCACTTTCCCCAACCATTAAGAAAAAATCATTCTTATAATGCTGGGCAGAAATAGCACCCACTTAAGAAGTCAGAACTACACATAATTCAAATGCCTTGCCCCATCATTAAAGGCTCTACTGATGATAATAATAATTCTGTCCCCAAAGGTATATCCTTGACCTGTAATAGAACGAAGACACTGGTGACCCATCTGGAAAATGACTATTTTCTAAACTCTAGTTGGCAAAATTAGCTTCAAAATCACAGAAAGTTTTCTTGAAAACTCTGATACTCTGAGAATCTCATATACTAAGCATACCTGATAACGGGTAAAAGCCACAATGAAAAAAAAAAACGTTTACTAGTTTCCAGGAAAAAGTACCTGTTCCATAAATATACCAGATGCATCTGTACCAAAAATGGCATAATTCATTTGCAACATTAAACACTGTGCCATTGGGCTTTACCCACTACCCCCCCCCAAAAAAAATGTTAATCAAGAAAATTGTTCTCCAAAATGCCAACCCTTCAAGGAAAATATTGCCTCCAAATGTCTTACCTTTCTTGTCAATCTAAAGAATGCAGTTGCAGTACTCATAAACATCATTTTTGAAAGAATAATTGTTGTGTAAGAAGCAAAGGCCATGAATACTTCATTTTCCATTAGCTCAGTGAGGTCAACCATTTTCTCAATTTTGGTCTGGAATCCTGAAAAGATTTTAGACAAGATAGGAAAAGTAGATGTGAATACCTAAAAAAACTTGATGGTCACTTGGTGTGCTTATATTGCAGCATTAACCACATTGTTCTTTTTTTATATATATATATAACCACATTGTTCTTAAAAAATATCCTGGGTTATTGCAGAAGAAATAATCTTTGCTAAAATTTCAAAATAAACAATATTGTGTTTTTCTAGTTCTATAACATTAAGCTTGAAGATATTAAACAAGCATGGAGTGAAAATGAAAACCATAGGGGAATGAGAAGCAAACACAAATGGGTACAATGCTATAAAGTGAGATGAAAATCTTATTTTTGCATCAAGATGAACCATAAGTTGGATGTAAAGGACCGGAGTTCATGGATTGATCTCTCCAGTAACATTAAATTACGTACATAGTAGCACCATTAATGTTTGATTAGAAATGCCGAAGTTCTGGGCCCCTGGGGGTGGTTCAGTTGGTTAAGCATTTTGGTTAAGCATTTGACTCTTAATTTCATCTCAGGTCATGATCTCAGGCTCATGAATCCTGAGTTGGATTCTGCACTCAGAGCAAAGCTGGCTTGTGATTCTCTCTCCCTCTTCTTCTGCCTCTCCCACTGGTTACACACACTCTCTCAAATAGTCTTAGAAAACTAAATAAATAAATCCCTAAGCTCTAATATATATCCTTCTTTAGAAACCCAATTTACAGTGTTTTCTCATTTCAAGAGTGTTTAAGATCCCAGGCTGCAAGATTTGAATTCCAATCCCACCATTTGGTTATCAACTTTGGTTGAGAGACTTGGCCTCTCTGAAACTAAATTTCTTCATTTATAAGATGAGAATAGAAATAGTCCTTAACTTACCAGTTTGTTGTCAGGATTTGTGAGATAACATGTGGGATATACTTATACTTAGCACAGAACCTGGCCCATGAAGAACCCTCGATAAGGTTTATTATACCTTTATGATCATCATTATCACCATGATTATAGTCATCATTAATACCAACACAAGTGAACCAGGAGAAGCAGGATACTGAAACAAAATGCCAGGCAAATGCAAGTAAGGAAGTAGCACTCATGGGACTTTCAAAGAAGGAATAAGCTAATGGAGATTAGCTTTATATAACTCTTCAGTTTATTTCACCTTCCACTGAATATAACTATCTGTCTGAATTTGGAAGTGTAAGTGAGAATGTACCCAGAAAGGAAGCTAAGGCAATCTGATACTGAAGTCAAAGTGGATAGGGATTTAGGGTAAAGCTTAAAATGTAAATTTCCCACCCTAACTGGTAGCCATTCTTTTTTAACATCCTCCTGTTCAATTATCAGCCCTGCTGTCTGTTTCTTCTCTCCCTTCCACATAAACACACATCTTTTCTCACATTCAAGCTTCCGTACTACTTAATCTGCTGGGCATGGAGTATGGTCTCTTGGACACATGTCCATTCCTGCCTTTAAAACTCAACTCCTATATACAACCTTATCAGGCTGACATCTACCAAATTCTGATCATTCTATCTTTAAAATCTTAAAAAAAAAATCTGTATCTCTTTCTTTACTCGGTTCAGGTCATACGGTTGTCTAAGTATTGCTGTTACTGTGATATATACAACCACACAGATACATATATGCTTAATTTTATGAGCCCACTATGTGTCCAACTATGCCATGTACTTTATGTGCATTACATAACCTTTGTAACTATACTAGTATAGTTCTCATAACTATATTCATTTCACGGGTGAAGAAAATGTGATTCAGAAATGTTGAGCAGCCAAGCTAGGACACAACCCATATCTCTGCCTTCCTAGCTTGTACACTAAGTACACTGCACTGTCTCCTTCAAGAAGAGACTGAAAACTGCTTAATTCTGATTCAACTAACTTTGAATGGCTGGTACACTCTTTGTCTGTTATCATGTCTCCTCTTCCAATTATGCTACAGTGTACCTGTACCTACAGGATAGGTACTATCATTCCCATTTTCCAGATAAAGAAACCAAAGCTTCCTAAGTAACCCCTATTTTATTTTATTTTATTTTATTTTTTAAAAAACATTTTATTTATTTATTTACTTATTTATTCATTCATTCATTAATTCATTCATGGCAGACACTGAGAGAGAAGCAGAGACACGGGCAGAGGGAGAAGCAGGCTCCCTGCAGGGAGCCCGATGCAGGAATCGATCCCAGGACCCCAGGATCACAACCTGAGCCAAAGGCAGATGCTTAACCACTGAGCCACGCAGATGCCCCAATAACCCCTATTTTTAAAGGCAGGCTGAATATGTACTTTGGATTTAAGCAAACAGAAACTATATGTGCCAGTTTAAAAAACAAAACCAAATGCATAGGAGACATTAATCCACCTCCAAAAGTCAGTAGTCTTGAAACACATAATGTGATATAAGCTCTCAGCGCAAGGTAATACTTTACCACCATTTAATGGATCTGCTCTTGTTCTGGTAGAGGGGGTGGGAGTGGGGAAGAAGTCATGATTAAAACCTCACTATCCTTCAAAGCTCCTGTAGAGTAATTAGCTTAACAAGGGATCCTTAAGTCCTATGCCTCTGGACAGAGATCTGAGGAAACACAGCAGGAATATTAATAGTAATAAAAAAAAAGTTACACAGAAGTTTATCAAGTCGGAACTGTGGTTATTTAGCAATAATTTTACAACTCAAATAGTTTCCGTAGGTCTCTGCAGATGTCTACAGAACGAAACAGATTTAGCAATGGAATAAAAGTCCAGAGGATGGGTTTTCTTTCTTCTTTTTTTAATGTTTATTTATTTATGATAGTCACACACAGAGAGAAAGAGGCAGAGACACAGGCAGAGGGAGAAGCAGGCTCCATGCACCGGGAGCCCGACGTGGGATTCGATCGCGGGTCTCCAGGATCGCGCCCTGGGCCAAAGGCAGGCGCCAAACCGCTGCGCCACCCAGGGATCCCAGAGGGTGGGTTTTCTTTTAGTGAAAACTAGCATTGAAAAAGAAGAGAAAAAGCAGAAGCCTTCCAGAACAGCTGGTGGGAAAAGAACACAAAGACGTCGGCAGCTGGAGAAAAAGGCAAAGCCAGGGTTTTTGTTTTTCATTAAATGTGAACAACACGTTGACAGTGCACCTCACACAAAGAGGTTTTCCAGCACCAAGAATGTGTCCTAACTCCTCCAGTCTGTGGTTCCGAGAGATGGGCCAGTGCTGAGCCTCTGCCTTCCCACCCGACAGGTCCCGGAACCGCTCCTTGGAGACCAGTACCTTCCACCTTCCACTCCAGCAGGCCTGCGGGCCAGGTGTGCAGCAGTGAAGGTAAGACACGAAGAAACAGAACTGATTCCAAGCATGGAATAGGACGGTGCTGGCCTAGACTTTTTTCCAAAGCTGATCTGTCAGTAAGTTGCCTTGAGCCTACATTGTGGCTGGGCACTGCAGTCAAGACAAAATTACTGGGGTGCCTGGGCGGCTCAGGTGGTGAATAAGCATCTGCTTTTGGCTCAGGTCATGATCTCGGGGTCCTAGGATCAAGCCTCACTTCTCCCTCTCCCTTTGCCCTTCCCCCTACCCCCACTCGTGCTCTCTCTCTCTCTCTCTCTCTCTCTCTCTCTCAAATTAGTGGATAAGCTTTTTGCTAGAGAAGGTCACCTGGAGGGTGGAAAGGAGTGTCATAGTACTAATAATTCAGAGGGTAAAATGTCAGGTGTTTTGGGTATTCCAGGAATGAGGTGTGAACAATCTAAGACAAGACAAAACAGGAAACTGAACTGTTGTCAAGACAAATTCTAAATGTACCGTGTGTCATTCCCTTTGCTGTCCATCACTGGTTGGCATAGCAGAGAACACCAGAGAGCTGGGCTCCATTCCCTGAGCTGGAGGTGACCGCCGTTGAAGGGACAAGGAGCAGCATGGGAACACACAGAGACGCAAGGACGAGGCTAGAGGCCGGGGACATTCGGCTCTGCTAGTTTACTGCCTGTGGTTTAACTTCTCTGGGACCTACTTACCTTCCTTGGATAATGAGGTTTTAATAATACCTCCAACGCGCAGGATTCTTGTGAGTCAAATGAGTAAAGTGTACAGAGCTTAGAACTAAGTGCTGTGTAACTATCCAGGAAATAAGTTCCTGCTTTGGTACTGTCCTAGGCACCGAGGAGATAATTTTAGAAATTTCAAACAGCTTTCCCATGATTTCACTTGATCTAGAAAACTCTAAGGTAGTCAGAGCCAGGAGTATTTGTCTCTGCCTCTAATCTATAAGGAAACGGAGGCCTGAAGAGGTACAGGGAGTAATGCGACCCAAATTCACTGTGGATGGACCAAGACTAGAACCCAGTTTTCTCAAGTGTTTAATTCATGAGCGCCCACTATCAAGGTTAAGAATTCTAGACCGCTCTGGTTTTCTGGGGGCGCCTTTTTCTGTTCTATCTTGTATTCCTATCTCGCCCTCCTATCTAAACACAATGCCTACCCCTACTGTATCTATTACAGTTGAGTCTTTATCTCTCAACCATGGAATACTCCTCTTTACAGGCTCTTGGCCAAAGAGGGCAAAGTTCTCTTCTTATTTATGGTGGCCTTGCAACATCAATATTGTGAAACACACAAAAATCTGGTCACACATCCCCTGAGCCATGACTCTGCAATTTTATGACTTCCCAAACAAACATAACACTACCTTAAGATAAAGAAAAAAGATAATTTAACGGCCTTGTTGCTGTTTATCAATTCTAGGATTTTCTGAACGGGGCAAGGTGACTGCAGACCTGGCCTCCTATGCTTCAGAGCTCAGGTGCTGGGGGGAACATGCTGGGGGCGCTGGGAAGATGTGGGGTAAGGCGGCTCTCAGGCGCTGTGCTGAGCTCCCTTCCCAGCCTCCGTGGTTAGTAAACTACACCCTAAAGCAAACCCTGAGAAAAACTGTACTTGTTTGCCACCAAGAGCAACATTCAAAATCGGACTGATTTGCCATTTTAAAAAATGACCAAAGTCCCCACATAGTCCTCTCCTTTTGGAAACAGAAAAGGACAACAGACCCTATCATTATCTTATCTCCCAGTATAGAAGGCCTTCAGGGTATGCAAAAGGTATGTGTAGCTTGGTATTCAAGGCAAGCTAAGGCCCTAAAGAACTCATCTTAAGTGGAAGAAAGGCTGTAAGCTAGAGGATCTGGGGATTTTCCATGTGACCATACAACAATGCTTGATTATAACCCACTTGGCACTCCCTTGGAGACAAAGCAGGCAGAGGGCAAGGGAGAAAACAAAAGGGTGCCCAGAATACTAAGAAGCCTTGGGACTATTTTGAAGGAAGCAATGAGATGGGGGATTTGCATGCACCCTTCTCTCCACTGCCCGAGGTCAGCCAACCAGAGCAGTAAAAGCTGAGTCCATACCTCCCATGGCTTCTTCTTCCAGACAGGGAGTGTGGGGGGGGAGGGGGGGGTTAGGTGGTTGGAAGGGGTTGGCTATAGTATCACAAAGTTTATGTTCTCTTGCGCTTTGTTATTGTTTATTATTATTATTATTATTTATTAATTTAACTTGCTGATGTGTTCCTCTTGCCTAACAAAGTGAACCATGAGGAGCAAACCCTTCCTAGACCTCAGTAGGTGCAAAGGCCAATTCGTCCAGAGCCGCTGCAACATTCCACACCCTTCGAAAGAACATAAGTTGCTTGAAACTGTAGCGACTTCATATATTCCTACAATTCGCACCCAGCGTGTTGGGCACACAGAGGCCCGAGCTGGCCTAGGGTAGGGGTGAATTCGGCTCCGCCTCTTCCAGGTTGTGATCTCACTTCTGCGGGACCCCAAAGTTGGGGTGACCTGAAAAGATCTCCTCTCGGAGGTTTCCTCCCTGGATTCTGACCTCGGGGACAACCTAACCTCCAAGGGTGCAGGAGCCCACCTGCCTTTCGGAGGCGGCGGACTGAGACGCCAGCGCGCAGCAGCTCGAGGGAGCAGAGAAGTTTCCCGCGGCCACAGAGCCCTGAAGCCCAGGCCCTTGCAGCCCCGCTCGCTCCTCCGCCCCCCGCGCCCCCGGGCCCCCCGCGCCCCCGCCCCCCAGCCCCGGCACGTACTGCGAATCCGAGCAGGAGCACGGCGGCGCACCTGTGCCAGCGGCGGGGCGCACGGCCACTGCGGTGACTTGCACGGCGCGGCCCCGGGACCTAGCACCGCACCCACGCCGGCTGGCTTGCTCTTACTCGCTCTCCAGCGCTTCCAGCCGGACTCCCAGCCCGGCCAAGCACCTCCCCCAATCGCCTGATTTTCTGTTCCAGAGTAATCCCCGCCCCCGGGTCTCCTTCCCTGACCCCCTGCGGCTCCTCCCGGGCTCTTTCCCCTTGCTTAAGTGGGGGCGGGGACCTGAGCGGTTCGCACGCGACTTCTGCCGCCTGGAGACTGGCAGAGCTTTTAGGTAGCTGGAAACCCATTTGCAAAGGTGCTAATGCTGAATTTTGAAAGCTTTAAAAGCTCCATAGAGGAGTTAAATCTCTGGGAGGGGGCGGGGGAGGGGCAGACTGATTAGAAATCATTCACAAAAGTGCTTCCCATTGAGCTTCACTTTCCCTGTACCCGTGGCAAGGCAAAGGCTGGCACGGACACGGTGCAACGTTTAGTCAAGATCGCCTCTTGACTTCCAGATCTCTAATCCCCAGCAATGTGCCTCCTCGCTCTGGCCCCTCGTGTGCAAGAGTCCAAAATGGAATTGGAGATTATATTGCATCAGTGCGTTACACAGTCAGCCTAGTATGGTTTTTACAGGGACATTTTAGGGGAGTGTTGTAGGAAGGCATGGTTATCCTGACATCAGTATCTAGAGCAGGGAATATTTCTAAGCTTCCGAGTCCCCACAAAAATATTTATGGACCTGGCTTCCATGGTTTTATCTAAAACTGTTTAAGGATTTATGTTTTCAATCTATGTTACTTCTCTCCTGGTAATACTTCTCACATATTTGCCACCTGCTGTATAGTATACTTCCTTCATCTTCCCTTCTTTTGTTTTGTCCTAATTGTACCTTCTTCGGGTTTTAAGGTGTGCCCTCAGGAGTAGCTGTCTAGGATTTGATAGACAAGTCCGTGTTCTACCAAAAAAGGAAGTGAGACTTAACAGTTTGCTCTAGGAAGCAGAATTAATCAGGAGCCGGAGAACAATTTCTACATAAGCCTATCAGTAGGAGTACTGGGAAATCCAACATCAGAAGATAGTAGTGCTTCATTTTCAGGTCTCTAGCTTTTGAAAATTATATTTATTTCCTTATCTTCTTAGTTAAGTACTCTGGAACCTGGCGGTAACACTAACTCGAATAGGACGGACTTTGAGATGTTTCTATTCTGAATTCTCACCACAAGACTTTAGTATTTTAACTTACTATGAGGGGATACAGCCCAAACCGTAACATTACCAAAAAGGTACAAAAAGCTATTATTAAATAATTTGATCTACAGAATTCCAGTGGAGCAGTTCTAAACGTGTTTTTGAAAAGAGCACCTGACTCATCTGATGCTCTAATTATAAGATGTATTCAAATTTCACTAATCAATGAATAAATCCTGAGTGCTTGCTATCAACAAACCATGCACAATTATTGCCTGTCTGTTATATATATGACACTGTCTTTAGTACAACATCAGCATGTGACAGTAATAAATTTAATTCAAAAGGCATTTATGAAGTGAATACAAGGCCCTCGGCTTGATACTAAAATCTGCATCTAAGATGAACAGCATCAAATAATTTTGCTCCAGGAGTTTATAATCTAGTAAACACAAAGGTCGGAAAAGTATGAAGGTCACCAAACTTGAGGATGAAAATATTTCAGTTGAGAAATGAGAATGATAACTGGGGTATGAACTAGGGCAGTAAAGAATTTACACCTTCTATTTGTTACAAACTCTTAGATGAGTACAGAAGAGAGAGAGTTTTTATCCAGCTTGTTCTACTTTGGGTAAAGGGAGGGGTTCAGGCTCTGAACCCTTCTCTTCACCATCATTTTAAGTATATAATAAAATCTTTCAGGAAAGTTCGACCCAAGATTCAGAACAAGTAATTCCCTATTAAATATTAAAACAGTTTTAAAAAGTCAGTGATTTGTGGTGGGAGAGCAAAGGTCATTCAGCAGAGTAGCTGCCACAACAAAGAAAAGAAGGATCAGATCAGAAAGGTCTAGAAGAATAAAGCATTTGCAGCCTAGCAGTTCTTACCTTTTAAGAAAAGCCACAAAGGAGAAATATCAGAAAGGACTGCCATTACCACAAGACAAGGCTTACTGTAAGTGGGAGGGGATCAGGTGCCCATCATTTCTTGTAAATATCTCAGATCTTCATTCTTTTTCTAAATACACAGAAAAAAATGCCTCTAAAACCTGAAACTAAGGGTGCATATCCTGTTGAAGATTTGAGTAAACATGGCTCAGAACCTTTAAGATTAAGAGAACCAAAACATGAAATAAAAATTAGCAACATTTTAAGCATACAAATTTTATTTTAGAATGACAATATGCTTTGTAAAATTATGATAGATTATGTCTCCCAACAATCTTATAACAGAGTCCCTACTTTTCCTATTTTGTATATATGCACTCTGAGATCCAAAGCAATTTGGAAGTTTTACCAGCTTCTGTAATAAAGTCTGAACACCTAAAACCTAGAGGAGGAAAAATTAGCCACAATGAGAGGAACAGGACTAAAAAATAATAAAACTCATAAAACTAATCAAGTGAATATGGCAAAGGTATAAAACAGGCAGGTAGGTCAAAAGACAGAATAGAGTCCAGAAATAGAATCACACTTAATTGGTCAATTGATTCCCAACAAGGTGCCAAAGCAATTCAATGGACGAAGGAGAGTTTTCAACAAATTGAGCTGGAGCAACTGGATAGCCATATAGGAAAAAAGTATACTTCAACTCTAATTCACACCATACATAAAAATTAATTCAACATGGACCATAGACCTAAAGACTAACACTGAAACTTCTAGAAGAAAATAGGAAAATATCTTGGGGGTAGGCAAAGATTTCTCAGACCAGGCACAAAAAGCATTATCTATAAGAGAAAAAAAATTTAAAAAGTGGACTTCATCAGAACTGAAATCTTCTAATCAAAAAATATTAAGTGAATGAATAGGCAAGCACAGACTGAAAACATTCTCAATACATTTATCTGACAAGGAATTTTGTATGCAAAATATATAAATAATAGCTTATAACAATAATTAAGAGACAAAAGTATACAATTAAAAACAGAAAAAATATGCAAAAGATTTGAATAGACACTCACAAAAGAAATTATGTGAATGTCTAAGAAGCAGATGTAAAGGTGCTCAGTGTCATTAGTATTCAGAGATATGCAAATCAAAACTGCAACAAGATACTTCTTCCCAAACATTAGAATGGCAAGAATTAAAATGACAGACACAATCAAATATTGATGAGGGTGTGAAGTAAATGGGATTCTTATACATTGACTGTGATAGTATAAAATGGAGCACCCACACTAGAAAAACTGGCTTGTAGTTTCTTATAAACATAGATCAAAAAAAAAAAACAAAACAAAACCATAGATCCAGGCTATCATCCAACATATCCACGCTGAGGTATCACTCAAGAGAAATGAGGACATATAGACACAAAGAGAATTATTTTAGGATTTTTTTGCAGCTTTATTTGTAATTGCCAAAGCCTGGTGAAAAACCTAAATGTTCATCAGTAGAGTAAGAGAAAACAAATTGTGGTAACATTCATACAGAAATACTAACTAGGTCTCAAGAAATAGAAAGTACGGATGCATGGTAACACAACTGAATTTTGATACTATATCAAGAAACAAGACACATTTCATTTATATGAAGTTCAAAGACAAAACTAATTGGTGACCACAGAAATGAGGAAAGAGGTTGTGGTGGGATTGGGTGCCAGTTGGCTGAAAAAGACCATAAGAAAACTTTCTGGAGTGGTATAAAAATTCAGAATATCAGTTACGTGAGAATACACATTCATCAAGACTCACTGTACACTTAAAATTGGTGCTATTTGCTTGATACAAATTCATTTGTTTTTGAAATATGAACTCTGAAAGGTCGTAAAGAGCTAAACCAAAAAAATTACATGTTCACCTCTATCGATTCCATCTTAATTTTGGGTTGAATGTATGGAAGGAAAATGTAAATATATTTCAGAAAAGACTGTAAAACCCTAGTTTATTACTCTGTTTCTTCCTCTTCCACAGAAACAGTAGATATTATTTGTTTTTCCCAGAAGAGGGATATTCTTAAGTGCAATTGCCAAGTGTTAAGAAGGACATCATCCTTTTCACTGAAGCAGTTAAATAGCAACACCTAATCTTGCCAAGATTCTCTGGGAAATGTTCCGGGCAACATGGAGACATAATTCTCCATTTGTAGGATTAATGTTTACTTTTCCAGCAGATACCACTACTCTCACTCATGAACCCTACTATCGGTCCATTCTGACACTCCAATTTAGTTCAATAATCTAAACTAATCTAATCATTCCTTTCAGTGTAGATGATATATCGGAGGCTTTAAAACACTGAATTCACAGAAGCAAACCTAAAAATATTATTTCAAGTTTAGAAAGTAAGCACTATGCACCATTTGCTAATATCTCCATAATCACATCATATAAGCTTACTGACAACAATTACCAGGACGTACTAATAAGAGTTACCATTACTTTCCATGTGCTGAGAGAAATCACTTGGCAAATCTTGTAGAACCTACTTTTTTTCTGCCAGACATGTTTAAAATTCTCCTTTTTCTCAGTTTTGATTTAGTAACTTTAGATCTCTGCATTATGTTGTGTTTTGCACAGAGCTATTGACTTCAGCTAAGGAACCGTGAACTATAATTATTTTGCATGACTAAGCTCTGGTACACCATTGTCAGACAGGCACTTTACAGTACCAGTAGTTTCAAAATTTAGAACAGAACTGTCAAACAAGCAAATGCCTACACCAAAGACTTCTATTTTCAAGCTACAGGCATGAGTTCTATGATGTGCAATAATAGAGTGAATCTTTGTGTTCTTGTGAAAGCTCCTGATTTGACAGTCCTGGAAAGAAAGCCTGTTTCTTTCTAGAACAGATATATCAGTGGTAGCAACAATACAAATTTCTAAGCAAGGCTGAGGTATATGGCATGAGTGCTGGAAATGGGAGATTCAGGCAGTGAGATTATTAAATGCTAAGGACTGTATTTATGGTGAGCAGAGAAC